GCAAAACCACCCCAGCTGAGAACCACTGCGGTAGGTGTTCAGTGAGTATTTACTAACAAATTAATAAATGAGAGGCCCATTGGAAAGACTGTGCTAAGAGCTTTGCATGTATTAGCTCACTGAATCCTCACAACAACCGAAGAGCTAGGATTATTATACACACTGCACAGATGAGGAAACTGAGGCTTAAAAATGTTAAATATTCTTGGAGGACATTATGCTGAGTGACATAAGTCAATCACAGAAGGACAAATACAATATTAGTTTGTTGTTGTGGAGGGTCAAGGAAAGGTTTACACATGGAGGGAAACTTTCTTTGTTGGTTGCCAGGGGTGGGAGGGGAGGGGAGGGGAGGAGAAGGAACACTGCAAAAAAAAAGCATTGACCCATGACACTTCAGTTCTGTGTATTTCACTGTACATAAATTATATTTCAATAAAATGCATTAAAAAAAGCTAAATATTTTGCTCAAGATGACAGAACTAGTAAGTGCAAGAGCAAGATCTCTAAAGCTAACATTGTATGAAGCTTAAGCTTTAAAGACTTATCAGTATCCTCAAAACTGTATGAGGCAAATTTGGGGGAAGAGAAAAGAAGCTTTAAATACAGCTTCTGCTCTCAAAGGGCAAAACAAACAAACAGAAACAAGAATTTATCTAAGACTCTAAGGCAATGTCTATAATTACATGCCAAACTCTATGCTACAGGACAAGCAAGATGGGGCCCACATACAGAGCTTTCAAAGCTCGTGAGAGGGATTCAACTTTCTGTGAGTAGGTGGGCTTGGGGGCGTTTTTGGCAGAGAGAGGGTAAGCGCTGGGTGTTTTGTTTGTACAGAGAGCATTTAGGGAAGAGAACTAAGTCTACTTTAAACCGTGAGATTCCACTGAACAGTATTATTTTCCCTAAGTTATCTTATACTTAATTTTGTTCTCTCTGGTGGAGTAAGGGTCTTCTTTTACAAGCTCATGAGAAAAGACAAGAGCTTGGTCCTTCTCCAAAGTTACCACTTTCATTTCACACAGCACAGAAGACATGAACTGAGACCAGATGCTCCTCTGCCCACCAAATAATTACTGTCTGACTGGAGTAAGTGAACCTTTGTGAGGCTCTCTTTTCTCACATATAGAGTTACTGTGAGTAGGTAATATGTAAAATACATTTAAACAACGCCCAGCACACAGTAGGTACTCAACAAATTCCAGATCCTCTTTGAAGCACTAATTAGGGTTATAAGGACATTAATTTTACGTATTTTCTATTGTGTACAACAACAGCTCAGAAATAGTAAGGAAGGGATTTGAATATAAACAGAGATTAAGATAATAACATTCAAATCATGATTTAGGTCTGGCTGGTCTTTAGAATGTTAAAAGAAAGGCAAGAGAATAATAAAATGAAAAATAAAAAGGAGAACAGATTCTATAAAATGAGAAATACTGTCTTCTCTAATGAACCCTACAGATTCTGAAAGCTCAGTAGCTCTTAAGGTCTATGAAGTTTCAGCCAAACACAGACCTAAGATCTACAAAGGCTTTAGCAATGTAGCTGCTGTATCCATGGAAACAAATGCAGAACTCTGGAGATACAAGGGAGCTTTCAAATTGAATATATGCACTAGGACATATTTAAAGCTAAGACCACACAATTTCAGCCTTGGATTGTTAGGTTAGAAACAATGCTGAAACAACTGTTAGAAACCACCATAACAATGAAAAGAATGATAATATCTAGCGTGGATTAGGGCTGGGGTAAGGAACCATCTCATACACTGCAGATGGAAGAAAAAATTTTGATCCAAACTGGTGATACGATCAGAAGGCTTAAATATACACACATCCTTTGACCAAGCAATTCTACCTCTAGGAATCACCAATGTTCATGGAAATGCCAAAATCCTAGACACAGTACAAAAAGTACAATGGAGGTTTAGTCAAATAAATCACAAGCTATACAGCCATTAAAAAATTCTGATGTAAATCTGTTTGCTAACATAAATACCCATGATGTATTACATTTAAAAATCAGTTTACAAAAGAATACTTTTAGTGTTACCCCTTTTTTGTTAAAAGTTATGTATGACGCATACTAAAAGGTCTGGAGAAATCTCATTCAAGATGCCAACAATGATTTTTGTTTCTTTCACATATTTAAAAACTTTTTCCTAAAATAATTGTTACATACTTTTAAAATCTTTGGCAAAAATATATGTAATAAAACATGTGCCATTTCAACTATTTTTAAGCTTACAATTCAGCGACATTAATTACACGCACCACATCATGCAGCCATCACCACTATCCATTTCCAAAATGGAACATCATAGATTCACCACAGCCTAAAAGTGCCTCCTGACTAGAAGAAAACTAAACAGAGCTATAGCCGAGTATAAAAATGATGTCTCCGGTCACAACTTACCTTATATGCAAGCATGACAACATTGCAGTGGTACCACCCCCAAATACCCACACAGTGAAAAACACAATTAGAAGCGTGGTGCTGAACATCATTTGCCGGGCATAAGTGGCAGTATCTCGAATGGCCAACGCAAAGGCCATTGCACCCCGAAGCCCTGCAAGGGAATGGAAGAGATGTTTCTTCTATTAACTCACTGCCAATGGGAGCTTCATAAATTCAGGGAAATAACCCAAAACCAAAGCAAACCGACTGCCATGTGGTTGATTATAATCCACAGTAACCCCATAGGACAGGGAAGAACTGCCCTATAGGGTTTGCAAGATGGTAAATCTTTACAGAAGCGGACTGCTTCATCTTTCTCCCATAGAGCGCCTGGCGCCTGGTGGGTGTGAATAACCAACCTTTTGGTTAGCAGCCAATGCTTTTTGTTTTTGTGATTTGGGTGAAAGTTTACAGAGCAAATTCATCATCCATCTAGCAGTTCATATACACTTTGTCTCAAGACATTGACTGTAATCTCCCACAATGCAACAGCTCTCCTCCCACTTCCTCCCCATAGCTACCTCTTTCCTGTGTCGTTTCCTCCCATGCACTCCTGCCCACTGAGCTGTCTCCCTGTGCATAAACAGGTCTTCTATTCTCCCATGATTGATCTCTCCAAGGAGTGTATCTACCTAATGTAAACATTCAGCTCATATACCTGTGTTTTGTTTGGCTGGAAGCCACAGGAGTGGGTTCAATTCCAGACCTGGAGGGCAGCTAGGGACCACAGTCGCAGTGGTTCCATCAGGCTCTATTAGACCAGCAAATCTGGTCATTTTTTTCCCCAAATGATTTTGAGTTTTGTTCCACATTGTTCTCCCTCTCTATCCAGGATCTCCCACTGAG